TTCAGGTTTAGTTCCATCAGACCACAGGACAACTCAAATGTTGTCAGTTAACCAATCAGAAGCTTCCAAAGCCATGACATCATCATCTGGGCCTTCCCAAATAGTCTGAAGTCATCTCAGTGGATGTAAACTTCTGACTCTGAAGGAAGCAATAAAACCTTCTCTCTCTCATTATTCTGGCGTTTAGCAAATGGAGATAATGTCGGTGATCCTGACTGACCGTTTAGTCTTATTTAATGTCGGATGGTGAGGATTTTATTTATTTTTCTATCTTTTCACTCAGTGGATGTGGACTCCTGGTCTCATTCCTGTGTTGCTCCTCCATGTTTCTGCTCTTTCATCATGACGTTGTGACAGTCGGTGTTCCTCTATTGCTGCTCATGTTTCCACTCCTGTCTCCTTTCAGTTTTCCCTCTCTACAACCTTCCTCGTAGCGCCACGTATGACTATTTGAATGAATTACGTCTGTAATGTTGCTCACGTGACCTTTCTATGAGATGCCTCAGGAGCAGCTTGAGTTTTTAGGGCCCAGACTTGTGAGATGAGGATGCTTCCTTCCCTCGGAGACTCCTTTTAATCCAGCTTTTTTGTTTTTTTTCCTTTCCGATCCGCTCCTGTGTTATCGCTCACAACCCCCTCCTCCTCTTCCTCCTCCTCCTCCTCCTCCTCCTGCTCTGTCTTCTTCCTGTGAAGAACGGCTTGCTGTGATGTGCAGAGTTTGTAAGTGGCTCAGTGTTTCCCTCCTTCTTTCCTTTAGCTCATCTCCATCGCTGCTTTTGTTTTTTGGCTGCTAACCTGAGTAAAGCCTCCTGTTCACGGCTTCTGGCAGAGCAAAGAGATGCTCGCTTGCATCTGGTCTTGCTGATGCTAACGGGGTGCTGCTGCTGCTGCTGCTTTGTTGACACCGAGGACAGAATCCTTGCGCTGAGGCTGCCGTCTAACTGGCTCCTGCTGGCTTTAGGCGCCCTGCTTGCATGATTAACAGCATCGGGGTTCCTCGGCCGGGTTGAGTTCAACAAACGCCGTCTCGACTACACTAGAGCGCCACCATCACAAGGCTTTCTCTGGCTTTTGTTGGGGATGTAACGGTGCACAAAAGTCACGGTACCAAACAAAGAAATGACCTCAGAACTGCTGCAGTCTGCTCCTGAGAACGTAAATAAAGATTCAGAGAAGCCGTCGAGTTCCCAAACAGCAGATTTGATTTAATCGTCGAGGATCTTCCAGCTCGACTCGTCCGTGACGGTGAATCGACGAGTTTTGACTTGCGTGTGTGTCAACGTTAAAGGGTTTTACTGGACATGTTTAGCTGCACATGTGAGTACCGTTACACCCCCGGCTTATAAATGAAATCCTCTCCACTCCATCCATTCTTACTACCTACTTACGAAGCCTCACTTTGCTTCCACTTTGCTCTTTCATTTTATCTTTAACTCTCTAAACCTCCTCTAACTCACGGTAGTCGTATTTTGCTGGTAGTTGACTCGTCTGTTTGAGATCTGCGATGCCTCAGCGACGTACATGTAGAATTTAAAAGTATTTTGCCGTGTCTGTAGCGTGTTGAGCATTAACGAGGCAGCGCAGGGGAGTCATTTCTGCTCCATCAGTTCGGTTTTAGCTTTAGCTTTGTAATTAGCTCAAAGGCGACACCTACTGGTTGGAAAACAAAGTCAGTCTGAAGCTTCAGTCCAGAAGTGGCTCCTACAGTGTGTTGCTTGTCTTTAAAAGTAGTATACAGCTGCAATCTTACTTATTTTTACTCTGATTGGGTCGAACGTCGGACTCTACTGCTATTGGATGGGCTACAAAGACTCACAAATTCACTTCAACTGTTTTGTGTTGAAGGTTATGAAGCTTCTCCTGCAACTTTATGACCTTTAGTGCAAAATAGGATCACAAGAAACTGTCAGATTTGTCTTTCTGAAGTACTGCAGTGTCCTTTAAGGTGCTATCCGATGCATTATGTGGCCACGTATGACACGTTACAGACACATGCAGACTGCTGAATGAGAAGCCAACCTGCTGCCTCGTTGGATCAAACCTGTTGAGTCTCCCTCCATCGTTGCGACGCAGAAGTAAAACCAAAGCAGCTTGTGTTTTGTTTGACCAGCAAACCTTTAGTACCTGCAGCTTCTTCTGGCTTCAACCAAACACCCTAAACGTCAGCAGGAACTCTTCTTTCCCCTCCGAGCACTTCACAGCGAGGAGCGTTTAGACAGTTTCACCTGATTTGGATTCGACCGTCCCCCCGTCGGAGCGGTTCAAGCTCCCTGGAAGTGGCGTTACGTAAGAGCGTCGAGCGCCATCTGCGACGGGCCTCCTAAGCCGAGTCAGAAGGCGACTCTTCAGCTCCAGTTTTGGGGGAAGAGGAGGAAGTCAGACAAATCTAGAGATGATCGTGTTGTTGTAGCTGAAATAAAACCTCCTGCTTGATGGCAGCACTCCAGATGTTAGAGTAGAAGCTGATGAGAAACCTGCTGCTGACTGGATGGAGGCGGTTCCTTCTAACCGCAGACCCGCCTCTCCATCTGCCGGTTCTGCTCCGGTTTCTGCTCCGCGGTGCAGTTCTAGATCTACAGAACCCTCCGTAGCACAAGTCCAGTCCGGTGACTAACGACAGGCGCTGCTGTTTGCATGCACGTGGACGGCGAGCCGCTTTAGACCTTCATCCCTCCCATGTCCTCTCACTGACATCCTAATGAGCACATAGATGGTTGATGTCAAACACGTTTCAGAGCCTGAGCCCAGTGTGCTGCCGAGCCGAGCTCTCTCCTCGACACTGTAAAAAAAAGAAAAAATTAAATTAAAATAAATTTACAGAATATTTAGTTTTTATTTGACAGATTTTTTTTCCCCCTCATTTTTAAAATACAAAATAATATCACTAAAATGGCAAAAACACAATATTAACATAATATTAATTCAAATGTTGTGTTAAAATACATTTAAAAAATTTAATTAATACATAACATACAGAAAAGTTTATCTTAATGTCACAGATAATTTTTATTTATTAGATTTAATAGATAAAACTATAAAATTCAACTTGAGTGCTGTAAATATATTTCTATAAATGGCTAAAATGAACTGAAAAAGAAGCATTAGTTCACTAATTGATCATAGATTTGCTAATTAAGAGACATATTTTATAATTACAGATGTTTCAAAACAAAAATGTTAAATTAATGTGTTTTTATTCTTTATTTTTTTTCATCATATGTATATGATTTATGTAATTTTTTTGTTATTTTTACACTCTTATTAAACATCAAACAGCCCAAAAATACAAAAAAAAAAATCAGGTTAAATGTGTTTGAGTTGTGGAAAACGACGTTATTTTTATTTGTAGCTGCAGAAACGTTTTTTTTTTACAGTGTGGGTGTGAAGCGGCTGCATGGTTCTGCATCATGAGCACGAGTTGCCTTCAGTCCTTCAGTGTCTTTGTCCGCTCACCGCCTCCGTCTCTCCCTTCCAGGGGTTCCATGACCAGCCTGGAGTCGAGCCACAGCGGCTTCTCCCAGCTCAGCGCCGCCACCACCTCCTCCAACCAGTCCCAGTCCAGCTCCATGATCTCCAGGTAGGATCCGGCGGCGGAGGACTTGGACCCCCGGCAGCCCCGACCCCTCCACCACCGGCCGGACCAGCGGAGCCGACCCTTCCCCTGCCCCCCCTCGTCCTCGTCCTCGTCGTCTTTGGACTCTGGTCCTATTGCACAGCCAGTCTCCGTGGACCTGATGCATGCTTGCACAAACAGAAGACAAAGGATTTAGGCAAAAAGATAAAACAACAACAACAGACTAAAACCACGTGTACAATTTTAAAGGGCTGATTTTTGCACAAAGGTCGTATATTTTTCGTGCCTGGCGTCCGGGCCGGGCGGCGGTTTGCATCGGACCATTTTGCAGAATGTTGGGGTGGGAAGGTGAAACGAAGCAATATTCTCATCCAGGGAGCTGCGGGACACTGGATACCGACACTGGAGGCGCTGTTACATATATGCATTTACATCGACACCCACAGAAGCGAGGCGGTGCGTACCTCACTCACAGGCGTCGACTGGCAAGACTGGATTTGCTGTTACACAAGTGGACGCTTGGCGGCGTTCTGCCATGTTGTTACTGGAGGGCTTTGTTTCTGGGAGCTGTTTATAGGTCACATATGGGCGGGTGGGCGGGGTCAACACCTGAACTAGATCCGGGTCAAGCGGTTTGTTTTGGAGCTCGCTGAATCTCAACAGCGTGACGGATGGTGTTGGGCTGCGATCCGTTGCGCTGCCCCCATGTGGCGAACTCTTTGGATGTTTGACTCTTAGCGAAGTGATCCGCTAGAAGCAATAACACGAGTTTGACTTTCTACTGTGTGAGATGTTTCTATTTATCGCGCCGGTTTGCCAGGTGAACCTTTTAGTTGCAGGCGGCGAAATTCTGTGACATCATCGATTCCCATTTTCTACAACGGGAGAGAAGCAAAAATAACGTTTTATCATCGCACAAGGGGTGTCCTGATCAAGATTTCCCAACGAGTCCCAATTGGATCCGATTTCAAGCTCGTTAAAGTTCATAAAATCGATCGTGACGCTCCGGTTGGACGTCGTCTTGGTGAGGTTCTTACTGAGGCTCCGTAAGTCGGTTAAAATTCATTTGATTGGACGCAGCGTTGTCGCTACCACCTCGCGAAGGACTCACACTACAGATGTTACAGGTTGCTTTTTAGTTTCAACTACGTCTACGTCGCAGGTAGTTTTAGCCGCGGCTCGTAGGGACGCTAGCGGTTAATCGGTTAGTCGTTAAACTGATACGTTGGGCGGAGTCTCGTAGCGCTTCGTACTGCATCGGCCAGAGGAGGGCGGCCGTTTTGTGTCGGCAAGCAGAGAGCGTTGTGGGGATTTGGCTAGCGAAGGGGCGCCATGACGAAGACGTGGTGGCGCCTGATGACCTCCGACCTTGTGTGTGAGGGAAACTGGGATCGACTGGCGTATAAATCGAACCCGAAGTCGTGCGTCTGTCAAAGACAAATGTCGTCTGAACTCATTGCACCGCTAGCGTCCTGCAAACGTAAACGAAGGACGAGACTCAGGTTTCCGGATCAGGACATCCCTACGTCGTAGAATATTTCAGTAATCTGTACTCGGGTCGACCACAGCCGGCTCGCTTCCCGTCCCAGCGTCCGCACAATTAAGGAACTGGAGCCCAAACTTCCGTCATCGAGCAGATGCCTTGTGGCTGATCGGTGGACGCGCTACTGATCGGCTCGCGAACCGACGAGATGCCCGAGTCGGGATTAGGGGTGGCGACGTAACCGGGTCGGAGCTGCGAGTGGCTTCGGGGGCGAATGTCTCTCCGTGATTATCATTGATACTGTACATGTGCTAGTGTTGGTTTTTTTTACTGTGTTTCGGAGCGCGGCGGCGGTGGTTGGGTTTACGGTTATCTACTATTTAAGAAATTAAGATATAGCCATTTTCTCAGAGCCATGTGTCAATAAAATACCATGTTAGCCTTCGTAAGCATCACGTAGGTCACCGCTGTAGCGCATCGCGTATCCACGGGACATTTCCGACCCATCCACGATGCGACCGTTTGTTTTTTCTGTTTGTTTTGACGTGGTTGAATCGGCACAGACGACGACTTTACTCGTCGATCACGATTGCCAAGAGTCGTCGGGATGCTGTTGCCATGGTTACTGAATGCAGCTGAGAGCAAAAAATTAAAAAAAAATCACAATAAGGCGGCGAGTCCTGGTGATGGAAACCTGCCTGTTGTTTAGTTTTCTAGCCGGCGGTGTCGACTCGTTGTCAACTGCAATAACATGAAATGATGCTTTACTGAGATAAAGGACCTCCGTCAGAGCGAGGGCTACGAGTGTGTGTGTGTGTGTGTGTGTGTGTGTGTGTGTAATAATGAATGTTAGGAGGGAGGTTACCACGTAGAAATAAAACATGCCTGTAAAATGTGTGTGAACGCTGGGAACTGTGGTCTGTGAGCTCTGATGGCGTTCCTCCTTTCGTTTCTCTGCTCTCCGCCGCCTGAACACTCCAGATTCATTGGGTTGTGTTTATGTGAGAAGGCGGAGTGGACCGACGGAGGACAGATCACACCGTTACTGTTTCATCTCCACTGATTGGAAACCTTGGGCTGTGTCCTGCAGCGTCGTCTCATCAGGATCTCATCGACGAATGAGGGCTATAACTGTTTCGTCCGTCTCTCTGCTTCCTTTGCATATCTTCTCTTTACCTAGATGTGAGCAGTTGTGTAAAAAAAAATAAAGAAATAAACAAAAAAAAAAAAGAAGTACATGTTTGGATTAAAGAGAATATGGCGCCTTTACTTGTTTTTTTTTGGAAACATTAAACTTGAATTATGAGAAAAGCTTCTCGTGTCGCTTGTGTTTTTTTCTGTTCTGTTTTTTTGGCAGATGAAAACTGTGTCTGGTTCCGTGCCGCCGCCGCCGGCTCCGTTAATCTGCTAACGAGTTTATAATTAATGAGAATCTGGAAAGTGGGGCTCGTGTTTGCTGCATCACTGGATCCACTAATGAACGCTGAAGATGATTCGTCCCCGCTGACCTGCGCCTCCTCGCAGAAAAATACCGATTTTCAGGCTGGATTTTTACCCCAGATACTCCCAGAGTAACACGTTCTTGTTGTTTTTTGGTATTTCTAATTATTATCTTACTTGAAGGGTCTAAAACGCAGACTGTGTTTGGAATTTACTGACATTTATTGTCAGATTCGGTGTGTTTTTGTGTCCCAAGATGTATAATTTCCTCAAACTAGATCAATGAGAGGAGCACACCTGCACCTGTTTCATTTATTTAAATCATTAATGTGTAAATAAGCTTCTTGACCAACTCAGATATTCTGATAATAACGACAAATCCCCGTTTTCCAGATGCCAGATTGTCTTTCTGAAATCTTCATAATTTACCCAAAAAACTATCCAAAAACAAACGACGTTCAGGAGCTGCAGAACTCTCAGTTTGTTCACCAATAACCTGCCCAGGTACAGTGGTTCAGCTTCACAGCATTTCTTTTGTTGTTTTGTGTCTTCAGAGAGGTTTTGCACCATTTTGCATCCCGTCCAGGTTGGATTTGAGTCATTTTGTGTCACATTTTGGTTGTTTTTTCATCTCTTTGTTGCCCTCCTCATCTGTTTCAAGTGTTTTTTGCTTCACATATCAGTTCTTTTGTCTCATTTTGCATCGATTTGTGTCCATTTGATTTCAATCACTGTGTCACAGGGAGCTGCACATCTGCATTTATTTTATTTTTGGCAGCACTGACCGTTTCCTGGAGGCCTCTTTGTTGAACAGAGTTCAGTAGCTGCAGGATTTTCTATCAAAACCCTAAAAAATCCTGAATCAAAGTCCTGCACACGTCCAGTTTTCCAGCAGGACACCCAGACTTCAGTCCATGAGCTTCTTTTGTTGTGTTGTGCCTCCAGTTGTGCTCGTTTTCCATCTTTTGCAGCCATCCTTTATCTCTTTACAGTGTTTTTGCTTCACATATCAGTTCCTTTCTCTCATTTTGCATCTATTTGTGTCCGTTTGCTTTTGATTTTAGTGTTTTGCGTCACATTACGGATGTTTTCTATCTCTTAGAGCTAAAGTTTTGCTCCTCCGTGTTCTATTTAATTCTGGCCGTTACTCGTCACATTTTTAATTAATGCAGTTACTTTTGGTTAATTAGTGCCACGTTTTAATCGTCTTCTGTCTCTCTGACGTCATTTGGTGTCACATCGGGTTCTTTGTAGGTCGATCACAGAAGCTGATTCATCCTCAGAACCTCATCCCTCCTCATCCTCAATCCTCATCCCTCCTCTCTCTCCCGTTCATCACCACATTTATCTGCCGTCTACAGAACTGGATGTGAAGTAGTTCAGACCTGCAGCAGCTACAACAAGCTGCAGACACACTGATAGCAAACGACCACAGAGAGGTTCAAAATGACTCAAATTAGACAAAATCACCCAAATGTGACATAAAAAAATCACAGAATGGCTCCAAAGAGATGGATGGCAACCAGCATGTGACACTGAACGGCCAAAATGAGCCAGTGACCCCGAATAGATGTAAAATAATCTAAATGAGACACAAAATGATGTCAAAGAGACACAGAGCGACTGCAAAAAGCCACAGGAAACAGACAAAATGTGATTAAATAAGTCCTCCATCAAGAAATGTGTTTAAATACGAGTCAATGATGAGAACAAATGAAGCGCCGACACACTGATGCTTCACTGTTGATAATCTAACGATGGCACATTTAATAATACATCAGCCAGAGAGACCAGACTGCAGGAGTTTTACTCATCATGTTGCATTTCTTTAGACTTTCTCCGCCTTTTGCTTTATTGTTTCAGTCAAACTGTGCATTTTGACTTTGGCCTTTTGTTGTTTTACTTCATTTTGGTGAAGAACAGAAGTAAACTGTAAGTAAATCAACTTTAAATATAATACATTACGACAGCTAAAACATTTATTGCATCATATGTAGCATTTAGTTTCATGTGCAGCTTTTCATATTTTCATTTCTCTGGCGTAGCATCTCAGCTTAATGTGCACGTTTTCATTATCATGTGCAATATTTCAGTTTTTATGCACAACATCAGTGATGTTTTGTGCAATAATTCATTTTCATTTTCTCTCTTACGTTTCAGGTGCAGAGTTTTATTACCATATGTGATGTTATTTATTACCTCAGCATCATTTGATCTTATTGTAACAACACTAAAGTTCATTTTATCCTCTTTGAGCCACAGCTGCTCTTTGTGCAGCTTAATGAGTTATTTTGAAATCATAAAACAGAGAAACAGATTCATTCCTGCCTTAAATCCGGATTGTTCTTTTAAAATAGTGTTTTTTTTAACATTCACAAACTATTTTCTTGCGTCGGCGCTGCGGTGTGGTTCCCGTTTCCCGCCACCAGGCGTCAGTCTTCACCCGCGGAACGTCGGCCGCCGTTGCCGCGCTGTGACGTCATCACGCACGGAAGTAAACAGCCGGCAGCTGTCGGCGGCTTCGCTTTTTAAAACGTGTGTTTGCGGCTGAATGCTGGTCGGACTGCGGCCGGACAGATGAGCGCGGCTCCCGCAGAAGATGTGGTCCGACGGTGGGAGAGGTCAGAGGGAAACTTTCTGCTTTTATTTACCTGAAACATCACGTTTACCGGCTACTTCCGGGTTCCTAAAGTGTTCTGCTAACTGGAAGCAGCAGCTTGTTAAAATGTTTGTGTTCCTCAGTGATCAGTGAGTTTAAAGGTTTTAATTATTTTGTTCCACATTAAGTCCAGCTGAGGAGCTCTGAGTTTAATCTGTTAATCATTTATATATTAATATTAATCTGTCAGTCAATCAGCCCGGAGGTGTTGGTGGAGCACGTTTCATACAATTAAAAAACAATACCAAGTGTTGAGCGTAAAAAGGAAGTCTTTAAAGTCACTGAATTACATTTTTTAAATCATATTTTTATAATATAGATCCCAAAATGAGATAAAATGAGAATAAATAGATGACAAACAACCAACGTGAGACACAGAACGACCACAAACAGAGTAAATGACAACAAACGAATGGAAAAATAACCGTAATGTGGCTGAAAAAGGCCAAAATCTGTCACACAAGGAGCAAAACGCGACACAACAATGACAGGAGTTGTTTGGACAGAGATGCAAACCGACCAACACGTGACATTAAATGAACCTGATCACCACAAAATGATCAAAATGAGACAAACCAACAGAAATATGACCTAAAAATAATCACAAAGAAAATAAGACACGAAACAACCAATGTTAAATGAAGAACAAGAATAAACGGATGCAAAACGATTCAATGTGATGCAAAATGTCCAAAAATATAAATGCTAGATCATGAAAATGTGACAAAAACTACCTGGAAGAGGCACAGATTGGTTAGAAAACGATGGAAAACAATCATAAAATGACCAAAGATAAAAACAAACAAAACAAAAGTCACTACAGAGCGACGACGGGAAAGTTTTCTTATAATTAAAGAAGAAACACACAAAACTTTTTCTGTCTCCAGTTCAATAGTTCTGATGAAGAAATCTGTGAGACTTAAACACGTTTAAGTCAAATAAACATGAAACGATGAGCTTTTATTTATCCCAAATACTGAAGAAGTTCTGATGTTCCTTTTAAATGATGATGATGATGATGATGATGATGATGATGATTAGTGGTAGGAGTTGTTTCCTACATTGTCTGCTTCAGATTCTCTCTTATATCAGCGTTTAACCCTTCTGTGTGTCTGTGTGTGTGTGTTTGTGTGTTTGTGTCTGTGTCTGTGTGTTTGTGTTTGTGTGTGTGTGTGTGTGTGTGTGTGTTTGTGTGTGTGTGTTTGTGTCTGTGTCTGTGTGTTTGTGTTTGTGTGTGTGTGTGTGTGTGTGTTTGCAGCGAGCAGCAGCGTCTCCGGCTGCAGCTGCTGGACCACGACACCGAGTCCTGGCAGCAGAACCCGGACTTCAGCGGCCTGCAGCGGGTCGGCGGCGTCGACCTGTCCTTCATCAAAGGGGACGACGTGAACGCCTGCGCCCAGCTGGTGGTGCTGAGTTTCCCCGACATGGAGGTAAACGGAACTTCAAGTGTTCAACTCCAAACGGAACTAATTTACTGAGGGCTTTTTTTTGCCACTTTGGGGCAGTTCAGCACGTCTCATATTTATTTTTTTAATAATATTGTTTATTTTATTTTTAATTATTTATTCTAAGGAATCATTTTTAGTTAATATTTTTTTTTTTACTATTTATTTTTATTATTGTATATTTTTAAATTATTTTTCATTTATTTATTTCTATTAATTGTTTTCAGTTAATATTGTTTTATTACTATTATGTTATTGTCATTTATTTTTAAAATATTTTTAATTATATTTTTTGATAATATTTATTTTATTCTTTATTTTTACTGATATTTGTACATTTTCGTCTGTTTATTCGCAGTCATTTTATTTTTTATTTTTTATGCATCTCTATTTTTACAAGCCTCTTAGTTTTCTTTTAGTTCAGTTCGTTTGGAGTTTCTTCTTTGCACTGAATGCAGTCGCACCTCGTTTCGTTTATTTCGTTTTCTTTATAACGACAGAAACACGTTTTATCACATAAACATTTCTCAGGTTTTGCACCTTTGTAGAAAACAACCAGATCTAATAACTGAACCTGTGTCACTCTGTTGTTTCTCTTTATTAAATATATTTTTAATGTCAGCAGAAGGTTTCAGTCCCGACACTCGGCTCGACTCTCGTTCAACTCGACCTTCATCTTCCCTCCACTTCCTGCTGCCTCTCAGTCGCTCCGTCTTGTCGTTACCTCGAGCTGCCGGCGCCTCCTCCGCCTCTAATTAATGACATTTGTCAGCGTTCGTTGCTGCTGCATGAACCTGCTGAGGCTAATGAAGCGCTGCTCAGACGTGTTGCCCCTTAATGTGATCATGTTCGCTGCTGGCTTTCAATCTACGCCGACGCCAGAGGCCTCTAGAGGCCACCAGAGGCCGTCTGAGGCCATCTGAGGCCACCAGAGGCCTCTAGAGGCCACCAGAGGCCGCCAGAGGCCACCTGAGGCCACCAGAGGCCACCTGAGGCCACCTGAGGCCGCCAGAGGCCACCAGAGGCCACCAGAGGCCACCTGAGGCC